ACTTTTTATTACTAGACCACCGTGAAAATAAATATAGAAACCTACTCCCGATCCTCATACAACTAGTTTACCTTCAATAACTGTCATGTTGTAAGAACATTGCTACCAAAAATAGCGCTACCGTAAAGAGAGTTATGAACACTTTTATTTACTCCGGGAATAACTTTATTGTGAACACAATTGGGAGCGATCGGGCAAAGAACTTATAAGTCGCTGGTGAATCGTAAGGAACTATGTTGTATGGTCTGAACTGAAGTGCTCAGTTTTGTTTGTATAAAGTACCTACATTGTAGGGCTAAATTTAGCAGTGCGGCTTTACTGCAGCACAATAGATTGAAATATTCTCATATTACGATTATTATATGGATTATAGGTAGACATACACAACTAGACTATACTGATGTTATAAGCGGTCAGTTATGCGATGTTTGACGTCGACGTGGTTACAAGAAAACTAAAAAGATCAAGTAAAATATTCAAAATGATGCCTTATTTTATTAGATTATTTTATAGATTCCATTTCAGCAGCCCCTGTGCCGCCAATATGAAAGCAAGCTTTGTGTAGTAAAATTATACTTAAATACCTTATACTTACATACTAATTTCCAATTCATCTAAATTTACTAAAACTCATTTAAACCAAACCTTTTCATAAACTATAAAAAGTCATCCAAGCACTCAAGAGACGAGAGTATTTTAGTTATAAATTCTCCAATAAAACTTACCCAACTCATCGACCGTATTACCCCATAGTTCAAGTCTGTAACTTAATTCTTAGTTTATTGACCGCATTATATCGGTTCTTATAGCTTCCGAACCTGACATAATAAAATAAGGATAAAGCGGATTATGTAAGGAAGTTTGTGTAATTAGGAAAGCTACTTACTCATTTCTATTGCTTTCTTATGGATCGTTATTGTGATAAAGTGCCTATGATATTGCTGTTTCATTTTTAAACTCGGTTTTCGTTAAGCTTTATGTTTAAAGTTCGTTTCGGCTTTGAAGTCAGCGTATTTTGATGAAGGTAGGTCTTGGTTGAGATGTAAGCTTCAGATTAGAAAAGAAAAACTTACAGTGAGTTCTAATATATATTAGGGGTCGTCCACAAATTACGTAACGCAAAAATCACAAGTTTTTGACCCCCCCTCCCCCCACGTAACGGGACCGTAACGCTAGGTCATGGCCCTCCCCTCCCTTTCCGTTACGTAACGCTTGTTTTGTAACATTTTTCAGTTAATTTTTTGTAACAAATCAATGAAACATTTTTTAGAAAATTTGCAAGTTTTTCTACAATTAGACTGAATTTGAAACTGCGAATTTCGGCACTAGTACTGGAAACGCCTCTTCCTTCTGAGCTACTGCGGCTCAATCATATTGTCTGCGAAATTATAAAAGTGTGTGTATGTTTGTAGGCTAATAACGCGTGGCAATGGATCTATTTACTTACAGGGAGAGTTTTGCAACTAGTTTCCAGCAATTATTTTTTGGTTCCAGTTTGTGTTATGTAGCCAAAACCATAAGAATAAATAATAACACTACCGTGTAGAAGTGAAACTCCTTTGTCCGGGGCCGAAAAGCCGCGCTTTAAATACCTACTTCCCCCCTCAGCCCGTAACGCCCCGCGCGCTCCCGTACTTTAAGCCAGGGCTGTCACGTGCTAATAGTTTTATTCCAAACTAGCGGCTCGCCAGGCAGTTGCATGACTTTCGGCGTAGTAGGTACCTATGTACACACCTACGCGCCATAGGATGAAAAATCGTGCAAATGCAATTATTTTAATTTTATTATATTTAATTAATTTTTGAATTTGTTTGTTACCATAACCAGCTAACAATAACCTTATACCTTAGGTAGGTAGGTATGTCGGGTTAGAAAACTGAAACTATGTTGTAGGTACCGACGTGAGTAAAAATAGGAGAACACAAAACCAAAACGTACCTATTAAGAATGGTAGGTACCTATTTACTGTACCTAGAACCTTTGCTCATCTTTAGGCAAATAAAAAAAAAAGATTGAGATACATCCTCGCATCACTTTTATAGCCATAAGCACCACAGTCATTCGGAAAAGCTAAACATTTCTGAAAAATCAAAATTTGACCCGCGCTTACGCGGCGAAGCGCACTTCCGACCGAATAGGTCGCTCTGCGAGCGCCAGACGGTAGGCAAATATAATGACCTTGAGCGCGTCTGGAGCGGGAGTGTCGCCTCTAGGTGTGTTTACTCTTATGCCAAAACGATGAAAACCTGCTACAAATAGGATATAAAACTTACGCACGATTAAGCCGCAGTAGCCCAGATGGAAGAGGCATTGTCAGTACTACTTTCGAGTCGTACATTCAGATCCTGCCTTTGGCAGTTTTTTTTAATAATTTCTAAAGAATTGCGTTCCTGACACTAACACCAGAAGTGTTTTAAAAGTTTGTTATACAAATAATTTGATAATATCTGAATTAGGTATAAGAAATACTTGAAAAAGTCTTTAAAAAAGCGTTACGTAACGCTTGACTCTGACCCCCCCCTCCCCCATAGTAACGGGACCGTAACGCCCGGTCTGAACCCTCCCCTAAGTGTTACGTAATTTGTGGACCCCTTAAGTATTTCATCCATTAGTCCTTCTTTTACAATACTCACATGATATATTTTAATTAAGTAATTTTGCAAGAAGAAATTAGGTCCCTAACTAATTTTCACTAAATATAAACTCTTCTTATTTTCTCTAGAATTCATATAAACGAGTTCGATTTCCTTCAAACGATATACACCTAACTATAACAACCTACGTCTTTCCCTCGTTGTTATAGGAAAACCACTTAGCTATATAGGTAGGTCTCTGCGAAACGGGTCATTGAAACCATAGAGCGAAACCGACTAAAACTACTTAGAACCGGTTCTCAGGAGAATTTGCAGTCTAAAACAATGCAATCGCTTTTGTATTGTCGAAGGTTGTTGATAGAAATGCAGGTTCCTGCAAGGTTCAAAAGAATTTTGTACCGTGTTTTAGTAGTTCGAAATCAAATGTTACAATAAATAACAAAGAATATAATGACTGAGCAACAAGATGAATAGGCGCACAAGTAGTAGATAATGCAGTATTGCTTCACTAAAACTTTTAAACATTAAAACTTCCGGAAAGAATTCGTCATAGATAGACAAGTGACAAATCACATCTACAAAAAAACAGAATACCTAATTTAAAAGCATTTAGGCCTTCCTTTCTAATTGGCTGGTGTTCTTTTTACGCGTGTGTTTAAAAGATCATTACATTGGAGGAGGAGGCCCTTGGTCAGCAGTTGAATTTATTGTGGCTGTTAAGTAGTAGTAGTAGTAGTATCTCATGTTCCCGATATAAAAGATCTAGATATACTGGTTACCACACACTTATTGCACGCCACAAGTACAAGTTGATCCGATGTGTAGGTACATTGTCTGCAATATAGATGAATAAATTCCATAACACCATGCAACAAGATGTCATTGGACGCTCGAATGTGCAATAGTAATGCATCATGTAATGCATCAATTGAGCACGCATTTCAACGCGTCAGACATCGACATAGTGATTGGGTCTCTACCACAAAATAGAGGGTTTACAGAAGGATCACTCGACCGTATTTAGGTAGTCAAGTCATACTAAATCTTAAAGTATAAGAATATCAAGAGAGTAAAATCAGGTATAACTAAGAAAGTAATATGATTCTGAGTGAATCTCAATTCAAGAAATGACGTTCGTGGGAAACCATCTTCATAACTGCCTTGAGTTCTTCGGAGATTCCAGTTATTTTCTGTTATTAACATCAAAATCGTCGCTAGTAATGAATGAGTGAGCCATCTGTATAGGCGCCCCGCGTGTCTTACGATCAACTGTACCTACCCAACTATGGATATCGTCAACAGAATGAATGGTGAACCCTTGAAAGGTATCTGATGGTAGGGTATGAACGGACGTCATTGGCATGTACTGCAAGTGTTTTCTTTTTTTAATTGTAAATCCGTACTACACAGCTGAAGAATGCGTATTGTTTGTGCACTCTGAATGGTACAAATTATTACTGTCTGGTGTCGGGCTAAAAGAGAGGTTTCTTCTCGTTTATGTCGTGAAAGGCACCTTGCATATTATAAAAACGGACATTATACCTAGATATATCTCGCATATATCCCTTGCGTGGACCGCAGAGGGTAAACGGCTGCAATAAACCGCCTTTTACACCACGTCTGACAAAAGTTTGAGAGTCATTTAGAAGACTGTGTATCACCATAGTGACAGGTTGTCAGCCTGTCGCCTAAAATTGCAATTCACCTTAACTCTCAATACGACACCCACGGGCAACATGGGGTAGTGCTGTTCTAAGCCAAAACATACGGGAAAAGAATCTGCGGTAATTTTTAAATAGTAATGAAGGTAGCCTAGCGTTTATACAAATTTCTACTTACTAAAATCCCACAATAAAAGCATTACGTATCCCAAATCGGTTAAGCCAGCTGAAGCTGACGTATCGATATGTTTGAATTTGCAAAACGAAAATCAACCGTTCGTAGAAATTCCAAATACGATATCCTTGTTATGGTTAAGCAATTAAGCATGCTTGTAATGTAGTTCTTTTTATTCATACTTACCAATTAAATAGAGACACTTATTTGATTACAAAGAATTTATGTTTATTTTCTGCTGAAATCTGTCTAAAATTGACAAAAGACTAAATAGGCAATTTTGTAGGCCGGAAGTCCTGACCTTTCTTTTTCTCTCTCTCTTAATTTTCCCTTAAACACAAACCTAACCATTCAATTCACAGCACTTGTAATAAGCAAATAAGAAGATTTGCACTTACCTATTTCGTCAATCGGTAACTAACTTCAGGATCCTGTGGACAAAGAAATAAAAGTTTAGTCAAATCATTGAGAATCACCTGTTCACATTAAGAGAAAAGGAAGAGGTTCATTCACCACCATAACAGTACACCTACTCACACAAATGCAAATAAGAAATTGAAAAAATGCTCATGCATCGACCGGGGTTAGAACCCAGGCCGCATGGGTCAACGACCCACCGCACTGCCACTGAGCTATGGATGCACCGGTAGATGCCTGCCAAATTCTTCAATCTCTTGATGCTCGTCTCCAAACGTTGACCCATGCGGACCGGGTTCGAGCCCCGGTTGATGCATGACAATATTTTCAATATCATACACTCACACATTGCATGGAAGATCGCCACTCAATGTTCAATGACGACAAAAGTATAAAGTTGAAAAAGTGAATTATTTAACTGAAAATTCTAGAAGTGAGCATTCGAACATGATCTTGACTCGATTTCGATGTGTGCCCTGATTTTGCTCCTAAGAACGCCAAGGTCAACCAATCATGGCGTGCCCATGGTTCTGTCAACATCGACCGACCTAATTAGAGCCCTTGTTAACAAATTCAACAGCGCCTTGGAACAATTACAAGAACAGGGCTATCTTTGTATTACCCATTACAATTTGGAACGATTTGACCATGAACTGAATATAGGTATGCGATACATCACAGTGTTTAGTAATGCATACAGTATTACTTATGCTTCATTGTAGGTACCTACATACAAGAAACTCGACACACAATACAGTTGAAAAGAAAAGACAAAGCACACAACATAGGCGAACTTCATACTCTTACCTGTCTCCGGATAAATTATGCAATAATAGAATTAAAAAACTTGGCCTATTTCCCTAAAATACAGTCGACGGTATCAGCAACGCAGATTTTAGTTAGTTCGTTAGTAAGCTTTATAAAACATTAGAGTCATTCGGGGTAAAATTGCGCACTTTTGGATATTTCACTTCATAACTCCCAAACTACTGTGATTTAAAACACATTGTATGTGCTGTATTATATCTTGGTTAATGGACTCTCAAATACAAACAAACAACTTGCGATGTAATCTGCGGTTTTTCATATATTTAAAAAAACAGTGACTAAGTCAGAGTGCGCATTTCTTCCCCGTGATGCGGGTAAAACTACGCGTTGTGTTGGGTAAAATTGCGCACAAGGGTTTCACAATAATTAAGGTCTTATCGGATGTTTATATTTTATCATTACGAGGCATTTTATAGTCTAAAACAATAAAAAAGAAAGATCTAATATAATATAGGTATATCTGTACAGAAATGCGTTTTTAAATATCACTATAGTGGGGTAAAACTGCGCACATCTAACCACATACGTCATATGCGCACTATTACCCCCGCAGTTTTACCCCATTCAATGAGTACTAGAAACAATTCATCGTAACTTTGACACTTTATAGGCATGGTTGAAATGTTGTTACTGAAAAAGAACTTCAATATGTATAGAAAATATAAAAGTAGAAGCAAGCTCTTCATGATCATAATCCACACTCCTACAAACTTTTCCTTTCACTGAATAAAGTCCGAATTTAACCACGTTTTGGTTTTTTTGGTTCTAATAGGTAGGAAATCGACCCGCACTGCATAGAGTGTCTGGACCTAAAATGGCGGTTCAGGTACACGTGTTCCCAGCAAATCAGCGTCCCTGTTCCTGCGCCCTATTCCGTAATATCGACGGTGCGCAGTTTTACCCGCTGCGCACTTTTACCCCGAATGACTCTAATTGTTGTTCAAATTATAACATGAGATGAGAGTGCAAAAACGATGGAACCCATGCGCGCTTTAATGATGTTTAAAAATTATTTTCCCCTGCGATTAGACGTCTTCAAACCATAGTACAGGGTGTAAGGGACGGTGTACCGAAAACTTTGATTGCAGACATGATCAGACCGTGAAACTGAACAACTTTTAGTAGGGAGCCAATGTTGGTAAACGACAAAAAATTTCCGACCTCCCATACAAAACTCACAATCAGCCGACTGACTTTGTATGGGAAGTCAAATAACTTTTTTCGTTTACCATCATATCTTCCATGGGGAAAGTTGTTCAGTTTCATGGTCTGAGCACGCCTGCAAAGTTTTCGTTACACCGTCCCTTACACCCCGTATATCGTTTGTGGTATAAGTCTATGCTTCGAACAATGTAATCTAATAAAATAACACGGAAAATGTCAGAAACCTTGTATGTCCAATCCATCAAACTTAATTTGACAAGTTAGAGTCCTAAACAAACCTTTTTCTCTGGGCCATAAATAGGTATGACACAAAATTTTAAAGGGAGGATGAGAATAGCGAGGAGTACTTATTATTATCCGTCCTTGGTAACAACATTAAGCTTTGTAGGATTCAAGATTCAACTTAGCGTACAATTTATCTACACATACTCTATGATATAATAAAAGTAACAGATATTGTACATCGTAATAAAATAAAAAAAAACTTTCGATAAGAACTCCTTTGACACCCAAGCAAACACATGTCGTCCCCCCGCAAACGACTAATTCGTTGGTATATAGATAGGCGACCTTTTTACCTATTAAAAATACGTATTGGCAATACCTTAAATATTAGTAAGTAAATAGGCAACTTTTGTATTAAAATGTCGCTCAAATTAGGCATCAAGTACTAAGCACTTTGATGTCGTAATTAAACGAATCTACGTCACGAAACAGACACAAAACAGGGCATCTCGTATAATGGCGATATTATAAGGCCCAGGACCGTCGTCCATTTAATCAAGGTAATGGCCCCCTTAAGGAATTTATTAAGACCACCCCTGATTGGCTCGTGGATAAGATAAATTATTAGCAATATGAAAGGACGCCTCTCCTTTTATCAAAATCTGAGTTATGATATTTTTTTGTGACGGAAAGTAATGAGAGGCTGGATAAACGCAATTTTATACTACACCTGCATAGAAAGTTATTATTTGAAACGTAGAGTGGAATGTAAGTCATTATTTGCGTTGTAAGTTACCGGCAAGGAATAACTCATTCGAACCACTTTCCTCCCGTGGGAAAACAGGTCCAACTGTCAAAATTTTTGTAAATCGAAACGTGACTCTAATACGTTAGCTAATATAAATTGAAGACAGGGCATAACGCTTTTGATTTGTACGAAATAATTTAATAAAATTTTTACTCTAACGCGCGATTTTTCTTCGGAATTTTCGAGGCATATTTAGGTTTTGAACTGTTTTGGTTCTATTAGGTACCAAATGTATTTTTTATTCGAGTCAATACAAATATACGAGTAGAAAGTCTGATTACAAACTCGTGTGTACTGTGAAAAACATCCTTGTTTGCAATCGGTTCCTTTCTAACTGCGTGTATAATGTACTATTCTTTTCGTTTTTCGATTCAATAGATATAGTTTCTTCTCTATTTGTCAAAGAATACTTACTAGGTATATAAAGTGTTATCTTTAATATTTAACAAGTAGATGTGTTTAAAAACTAAACCCGACTGCAGTAATTTTAAAGTACTATTTTGCTGTAAAATTCCGCCATCTTGAATCTATAATTTTCTAATACTTATAGCCAGTGTCATTCGCACTTCTGAGACAAATCTAACGACACCTCATAGGTATGTCAAAATCCAACTATCCGTTTGGGCTGTAGCCCGTGATAAAGAATTTTGTTGTCCGCTACATACATGCAAACATACATACATACTCTCGAAAAACATAACCCTCCTTCTGAGGCAGTTGGGTAAAAGAATCAGTGTTTTAATTTCTTTTTTTGGGTTTTCTTGTAAGTCTTCAAAAGTTCTCAATATAGCTGATAAGATCAGACATCGGAACTTTGGAAACTAATCCATCACCGAACTTTACCTTATTACTTTTTCAGATTGGTAGCCAGCTCTCGCTAGTTAAGAATTTATAGGGATCAGTTTGCATTGTTTTTTTTTAATACATTTTGAAGAAGATACATCCAGTACAAATTGATACCTGTAATTTTAGTATAGGGCTGTTAATAGGTACGTATTTCGTACCAAAACAAACACAGACAATTTAGTTTACCAACTACTACAGATTTCCCTACCATGTTGGTTACTATTTCGCCGTATTACGATATCGTTAATGATGTCCCAATCCAAACCAAAGCTTAGTTGAAGTTCGTAAGCCTGGTAGGCTTTAAGCTAACAGAAGTGTGTATTTGCTGATACTGAATATTCGAATACCTATCAAATACCAATTCGCTGAAATACTTACAAACCTATAGGTACTTGGTTTCATACATTACAGTAGGTACTTTATACCACAAATTAGGGAAACAGCGCGGGGGCGCGTATACCTACAGATTGCTCACTCAGTACTAGCGACGATTTTGACGCTTACTAACTTGAAATAACCGGAATCTTAGGGGAAGTTGAGGTACCTAACTCCGAAGTTGGTTGCCACGAACGTTATATTTCTTGGATTAAAATTGGCTCAGAATGACGTTTTTGTATCAGATTTTATTTTTTTGATATTGTTGACAGCACTCTGGGACTGGGTATGTAACAAATGACAATCGAAAAAATCCTGAATAGCGTCGAGTCAACCTTTACTTCTTGTAAACTCTCAATTTTGTGCTTTAACTCATAAACTAAGACAGTCCACGCTGGATGCTTATGGGTTCCCATTTCGTAATAAATTTCTTGGAATAGGTAGATTACTTAGTTTATTAACCCCTCATACAAACTGATGCATACCATGAACTGTACTTCAAGTTTAAACTGAACTAGCCATAATCCTATTTCACAAGGTGTTACATTTCAAATAAAAAAATTCTGACGCAAACAAATCACAAAAATACCGAGCAAAAATGTAGGTATTGTAATCGTTACTGAAATGTTCTTATCAAGTACATATGTAAGTATGTAGGTATATGGGGTGTAAGGGACAGCTCAAACATGTCAGATGCCTGCTAATTGTGGTAGGCGGTTGAAAAATTCTGATACCAGGGTCCACAGTGTCGTTGAACGACTCGTTGTCCTTCTCGAAAAGAGTGAGACGGACAGCTATACGATAACTGATAGGGTGTATTCAGCCCATGAAACTGAACAGCTTTGCATAAGAAAATATTTCAGGTAAATGAAAAAAAAAATTGACCTTCTGCTGACTGCATTTACTAAATAAAGTAAACATTTTTTTACGTCTCCTAAAATATTTTCTTATGGGATGTTGTTCAGTTCAATGGCTTAAT